CAAAACCCCAAAACCCCAAAACCCCAAAACCCCAAAACCCCAAAACCCCAAAAAGCATAAAATTGATCAAAAATCGAAATTGAATTTTTTTATAATCATTAAATGTAAATGGAAGATGAGTAGATTGAAAAAGAGCCTGATAAACTGCAATTTACTCCTTAGCATAAACCTTTCACTCAAGAATATCTGGAATAAGAATTTCAAAGAATGAGTTAAAATCAGAATAATTAAATTTAATCAATTAATAATAGAGAAGATTAAATTTAGAATAGAAATTTCGTAGCATTGGTATCTTCCATCAAAAGAGAAATTGGAATTGATAATTTAAAGATGATAACGGAATACCTCATTCATAAAGAAGATTCTGCTTAACCTATTTAGAAATCTAAGAATAGTGAATAGAAAATTTTAAATCCTGTCACTGAATTAACACAGACAATTGAAAGATCTATTCCTAAATTTTAGCAATTAATAAACTAAGAATCCTCTGAAAAAGATAAGATAAACGTTGTCACAGTAACACAAGAAGAAATTTAGACAGATGATGGTTAAAAAATTGATTGCTCTTATGTGAAAGTAGGAAAATAATAAATTGATATCTCTTCGATTTTTATCGAAATAGACGAAAGTGATATATAAGATGATGAAGACTAGACAACTTAAGGAAATTTACCTATTGCTTAAACTCAAGGTAATGATCCTAAAAATTATGAACAAATAAAGTCTTAAAATAATTAAGAATTCATAATTAAGTCTTAATCGAAGTCTGTACAGGAAAATCTAATTCCTGAGCAATAAGATCAAGAACCTCTTATTAATTCAAAGGAGCAGTAGTAGAAGAGACCAAGCATCTAGGAAATTTAGAATGACTCAGAAACTTCTGTAAAAAAAGCCAACGAATGAGTTGAGTTCTCAATTTCATTCATTAATTTAACTAGAGATATTAAAAATAATTCTAAAGTAAGGAGTAATATTTTGCATTCGTTAAAACTTATTAATATCTAAAATATTACATCATTTATCTTAATCTATTCTTATGGGGTTTTGGGGTTTTGGGGTTTTGGGGTTTTGGGG